GGGATGGGTGGGTGTTGGCCCTGAAAAGCCTATGGTCTATTTTAAAACACTAAATATCCTCGAGGTAATGTCGGTTTGGCGTGCTATGCGGAGCGGCGCACGTTCTTCTTTCACTTGTTTTCTTGCTTACTAGGGATCTTTCGAGTTTTAAATGTCTTACACGACTGGATAACCAGATAGTCAACAGCTCTGGGACGGCTGTTGGACGGGAGCTTTCTTCTTTCATCGGTTTTAAGCAGCCTGTGAGAAGGAAGACTTCTAGCGTCAGCCATTTTTAAATATCCCTTACTCCTGTCGCAAAAGTCCAGCTTGTCAGGCTTGCAAGATCGGTTCTTCTTGCAAGTTTACTGCTTCAGTGCGGCGATATCTCCGTGAATCCTGGACCTTCTACTAACATATCCTGTCCTCGGTGTCCCAAGACGGTCAGAAGAAATCAGGCTTTTGGAATTTAACTGCGTTTATGCAAATCGCGCTTCAATTTAAAGTGTCTGGATGCGAACTTTAAATCGGGCTCGACTTGTCATTTCGGCTCAGTTCCTTCCTCTGCTGAGCAACAGTCTTATGACAGTCTAAACGATAGTTTTATTTTACCAGCAACATCTGATGCTACCCTAACGTTCCGTGGTCTCAAGTTCATCCATCAAAACCGTTAGAAGCTTGAGGAAGAAGTTAAATGAACTACGTGTTTTCTTAACGCAAAGTCCACAGCAAATAGCTGCCATTATTCAACCTGTTAAAACATTATAGCTTTAACTTGAGACATGGCTTAACAGCAACATTTCGGATGCAGAAGTGTCGTTGCCTGGCTTTACACTTTTTAGAAGAGATAGATTGGTAAAGAAAGGAGGCGGTGTAGTAGTGTTCTTCAGTAATTTGTCATTAAATGCTGTGCGCCAATCAGACCTCGAGATTGATGAATCTGTTTGGATTGAGATCCTTCTGCCTAAATCTAAAGGCTTACAGTTTGGAACATTCTATCGGCCACCATCAGAGTCAGCCAGC